CCATTTCCATCATTAATAAAAACATTTCTTATTTATCATACTTATTATTGTTTAATATGTATGCTAAAAATGTTTCCAATTTTTAATTTCTATTTTTTTCATTTTATCTATTTTTTAATTTTATTAATTAATCGTGGCAACATGGATTAACCCATTTGACCCAAAATGATTTAATTTCTTACTGGCCACCTCCTAGATGAAAAAACTATTTTTGCTCGGTGGATTTTAAAAGTATAAGCTTTTATGTTATTGGAATTGTTAATTTATTATGGATTTAATTAATAGAACTTAATTAACTTACATATTGGATTTAATGAGAGAGAATTTAATGCATGAATATCTTTAAATTACTTCTATTCAACTTATTTAATATCAAGAACCGATTACCTATTTGCCCTCATTTTTTTAATTTTATTAGTTAATCGTGGCAACATGGATTACCCCATTTGACCCAAAATGATTTAATTTCTTACCACCACCTAGGTGATGATACTATTTTTGATAGGTGGATTTTAAAACCTTAAACTTTTATGTTATTGGAATTATTAATTTATTAATTATGGATTTAATTAATAGAACTTAATGATGAGAAGAAACAAAAGTGACTTAAATATATAAATGAAAGTTAATAACTTAAATATTGGATTTAACGAGAGAGAATTGAATGCATTTAATATCTTTAAATTACCTCTTTTCAACTCATTTAATATCAAGAACCAATTACCCTATTTGCCCTCATTTTTATCAATAAATTTAAATCTAGAGGGGTAAATTTTGTCTTTAGAAAATTCCAGAAATATTCTTGAGGCCATTCATGCTTTTTAAAGTAGTGTAGAAAACAAAAAAATCCAAACAAAATAAATCCTTACCTAAAACTGGCGATCTTGAAGAAGCCATGACTACTTGTCTTTCCTGCGAGATCATTTCAACCCTGTTTCAATTACCTGCTCAATGGGAGAGCTTCTCTATGGATTGGGATAGATTGCACGGGTTGGGGACCCTCCTTTTTATAGCCATCTCAAGGAATGATTACCTTCCCATCTAGGTAACACATCCATGGCTTGAATGCCATGTGAATGTATTGGTATTGAATGGTCCGTTGCAAGACCATTAAAACAAAAGAAGAAATGTTTTGAGCATTTCTTTACAAGACCATTAAAACAAAAGGATTATTTTAACAATCTCCCACTTGGTCTTACAAAGATTTATGAATTAGTATATTATTATTATTATTATTATATATATACTTAGTCGTACTTAATTAAACACACTCCATTCACATTCCTTATGGCATTCTTAATATTAAACCGAACTAAGACAACTGAAACTGTCAATACAACATCACAAAAATCATTACATCTCACTAAAAATGTAATGTTGTTTCATGGTCATTGTATTGATATCCACATCCTCCATAGTCCATAACCTAAATGTGGAATGATCTGTATGATGTGCTTATCAATCACATCTCTTTCACCTGTATGATCCCTTAGATTTCTGCTATTTACAACCCACCAGAACTTTTATAGTGGAAGAGTAGATAATTTAACGTAGAACAAATGGAACAAAAATTATATTATATGGGAACAACAATGTTGTCTTTATGCTAGCAAAAGATACTCCCACTAACCATGTGAATCAAATGATTCTACAACACCCATACGGGTTACATGTTCCATGAACAATTTTACATCAAGAGCCTTGGTTAATGGATCAACTATCATAGCTGTAGTGCTAATATGCTCTACAATAATCTCTTGTTCCCTAACCTTCTCTCTCACAACAAGAAACTTTATGTCCATGTGTTTGGATGCACCCAAACTCTTGTTGTTTCTGGAGAAGAATTGCAAAGTTGTCAATAAATTTTTAGTGGCTTGGAAATAGTACCCATGACTCGAAGCCCTGAGATAAAGTTCCGTAACCAGATGGCTTGTTTAGTTACTTCGTAACAAGCCACAAATTCTTTCTGCATAGTTGACGAAGTTGTAAGTGACTGTTTAGCAGTCTTCCAAGAGATAGCACCTCCAGCTAGCATAAAAATATAACCAAATGTTAACTTTCTATCATCCGAATAACTGGAAAAATCTGAATCTCTATACCCAATTACCTTAAGGGTATCAGATCTACTATATATGAGCATAAAATCCTTGGTTTTTTGAAGATACCTCAAAACTATCTTTATTGCTCTATAGTGAACCTTTCTAGGATTGCTTGGATATCTGCTAAAGACACTAACTGCAAAGGCAATATCTGGTCGGGTGCAAACTTGAGAGTACATGAGGCTTCCAATAATTGAGTCATAGGAGAATTTGTACATTATTTTGTTCATTTTTTCAACCTCTAACTCAGTTTTTGGACATTGATCCCTATTGAGTTTCTCACCTTTAGTGATTGGAACATCCCCTGACGAACAATGGTCCATGCCACAGCTCTTGAGAACCTTATTAATATAGGCTCTTTGAGACAGTCCCAACATGCCCCTGGTTCTATCACGATGTATCTAGATACCGATGATGAAGGAGGCTTCTCCTAGGTTTTTCATGTCAAAATTATTTGTTAAAAACTGCTTAGTTTCTAAAAGCAGTTTCATATCACTACTTGCAAGCAAGATGTCATCAACATAAAGGACCAATATAATAAACTTGCTCCCACTAATCTTGAGATATATGCATTCATCTACCACATTTTCTTTGAAACCAAAAGAGGTGATGACTTCATCAAACCTTATGTACCATTGTCTTGATGTTTGCTTTAAGCTATAAATAGATTTCTTTAATTTGCATACAAGGTTTTTCTTGCTACCACTTCCAACCCTTCTGTTTGAATTATATATACATCTTCACGTAATACACCATTTAGAAATGTTGTTTTGACCTCCATTTGATATAATTCTAGATCAAAATGAGCCATAGGAGTCATGACAATTATGAAGGAATCATTCTTAGAGACAAGAGAAAAGATTTCTTTGTAGTCAATACTTTCCTTTTGAGTGAAACCCATTGCTACCATTTGTGCATTATATTTTTTTATATTGCCACTTGAATCTCATTTTGTTTTATACATCACTTTGTAACCAACTGCTTTGGCTCCATCAAGCAATTCTACGAGATCCCAAACTTCATTTTTCTTCATTGATTCCATCTCATCAATCATGGCACTTGGCAATTGATGGCTTCTTTATACGTGGTTGGATCATTTTTAGAGCCAACATCAAAATCACACTCTTGTAAATAACAAATGAAATCTCCAGAGATAGGTGGTTTTCTCACCCTTTGAGATCTCCTCAATGGTACTTCTACTAAAGGATCATCAACTTCTGTAGGAGAGTGTGGACCTTCCCTTATATGATCATCAAACACTACTTCTTCATTTTGAATAGGCAAGACATGATGTTGGGACTCTAGAACAACAACTAATGTAGACCTCTCCTCAAACTCAATGTGTTGAGTAGACACATCATCACCAACAAGCCCATCTTCAATAAATTTTGCATTTCCAGTTTCTATAATTTGGGTTAGACATGATGGACAATAAAATCTGTAACCTTTAGATCTTTCAGGGTATCCTACAAAATGGCAACTCACTGTTCTAGGATCTGACTTCTTCTCTTAGGGTTTATATATTCTGGCCTCCGCCCTACACCCCCAAACATGCAAATGGTTTAGACTAGATTTTCTATCAGTCCATAATTCAAATGGTGTCTTGCACATTGCCTTACTAGGTACACGATTCAAGATATATGTGTCAGTTCTTAAAGCTTCTCTCCAAAGGGATTCTGACAACGTAGAATTGTATATCATACTTCTTACCATGTCCTTTAGGGTGCAATTTCTTCTTTCTGCTACTCCAGTTTGTTTGAGAGTCCCAAGCATAGTATATTGTGCAACAATATCGCATCCTTCTAAAAACTTGGCAAAAAGTCCTAGATGTTGCCTAGATTCAAGATCTTACTGCCTTAATCCTTTTATTCAACGGATTCTCAGCTTCAGTTTTGTAAATCTTGAAGAATTCCAAAGCTTGTGACTTTTCATGCAGCAAATAAATATAATGATAACGAGAAAAGTCATCAATAAAAGTAATAAAATATTTTTCACCATTCCAAGCAGGTATAGGAAAAGGCCCACAAATGTCAGTATGAATTAGTTCCAAAAGATCTGAAGTTCTCATGGCTCCCTTATTTCTACCTTTTATGATTTTACCTTTAATGCACTCTATACATGTGCTAAAATCAGTAAAATCCAAGTCCTTTAGTATTCCTTCCTTTATCAACATTTCAATTATTTCTCTAGAAATGTGGTCCAACCGTTTATGCCATAACATTGATGAATTTTCATCAACAACGCAACGTTTTGTACCGACAACATTATATGTATCCATTGATAAAAGAGATGAAGCATATGCAGTATCAAGATTCAATTTATATAATCCATCACATAATGTTCTAGTACCAACAACACGAGATTGAGAAATTAAACTAAAAGCACCATTTCCAAAATTAAACTTAAAACCAAGAGCATCTAGTTTTGTAACTGACAAAAGGTTTCTCCTCATACTAGGTACATAAATAACAATTTCTAAGTCTAAAACAAAACTAGTGTCTAAAATCAATCTATAGACTGCAACTGCTTCAACTCATTCTTTGACACCGTTCCCCATCACTAGATCTCTTTCTCCATCACTTAACCACTTGCTATTGATAAAACCCTACATAGTATTTGAAATATGTAGGGTTGCCCCAATATCAATCCACCAAGTATTAGAAGATACATAAGCAAGATTGGATTTAGAAACTGCATAAGCTAGCAAGGTACCTTTTTCTCCATGTTCTTTTTGAACTTTAAACAATATTTTTGCATGTGTCCCATCTTCTTACAATAAAAACATCGGACTCCACTATTCCCTCCTTTCTGCCCTTGAGGGTTGTTCGCCCTAAATTTTTTGAACTTTCCAACATTCATTTGACTTTTGAAAAACTTATTCTTATTTGGCCCTTGCAGTGTCTATACCGCAATATTCATGCTATCAACTTTATTTTTCTTCAGCCTCTCCTCTTCTTGTACACACATGGAGATCAACTCACTAGGGCTCCACTTGTCCTTTTGAGCATTGTATGTGATGTTCGGTTGATCAAGTTGATATGGGAGAGAATTCAAAATAAATTGGATGAGAAATCCATCATCCACATTCATCTCTATGCTTTTCATTTGGGTAGCAAGATCAGCCATGTGAAGTATGTGTTCTCTTACACTTCCCGCACCCTCATATTTTGAATTTACTAATTGTGTCATTAAGGAACTACCAATCGCTTTGGAGGAGCCGACAAACTGCTCTTGAACCCTAGTCATGTATTTCTTAGCAACTGTCTCATCTGGGATACCACTTCTGATATTCTTTGAAATTGTCCATTTCTTTACCATCAAGCAAATACGATTGGCTCTCACCCGATCTTCATGTTTATCTTTTTCCTCTTTCGTGCTCTGATCAGTGGGTTTTGGAGGTTCGTCCTCTAATAGGACAAAATCAATCATGAAAATGGCCATGACTATCTCTATTTGTTCTTTCCAGTCATAGAAGTTTGAACCATTCAAAGTTTCAATACCATACAAATAGCTTAAAATTGTAGCAGTACTCAAGGCTGAAAAGAAAAGGAAAACATGCTCACTACATTGCATCTCGATTCCTTATGTTAAGTTAAAATCATGGCATAAGGTGCATAATATCAATTAGACAAGACCAAGAGTGACCCTGAAAGCTTAATGGATATGGTTCAATGAGAAGAGCTGATGTTTCATTGTATTTTCACCTTTGGGCAAAAAAAAAAAAAATACAACATATAGATGCTCTCTCTCTCCCCTTTTTCTTTTAATCTCCTTTATGGTGACAAAAATCTCCACAAGACTTGATCAATATGAGCATCATAAATTTCCAAGAATTTACACCTTTGGGTTTAAATCCTTGTTATTTAAGTCATTCATATCAAACGTCTTGTCCCATTGGTTTGCACAAAATAATGACCCACCTTTGGGTGCGATTACTATTTTGATGCAACACAATGCAACTTGTCAATGGGTAATTACCAACCACTTGAACACCATACAAATTTTCAAAATTTGACCACTTTTGTGGTTACAAGATTTATCCAATTTGAATGGTTTTGAATTGATTTGGCACATGATAATTCAAAGGTATAGTGAAGCAAAAGATCACATACACCAATAATCATAATTTGGATTTGTAGGGATGAATACTAATCAAAATAGAATAATAATAATGACAAATTAAACGATAAATTTGGGTCAATACGTACTAAATCCATTGAACCAGTGCCAAAATGAATTCCAAAATTCATAAAATTTTACCGTAATGCGGTTTAGACCAATATAAGATTGTGAGAAACAAATTTGATCAAAACGATTTAAAAAAAACCCCTAAACCGGCTAGTCAAAGTTTCAGGTTTTACCAAACCGGGGATGAACCATAGGGTTTTAATCATAATTAGAGTGTTGCACCCACATTTATGGATTCAGGAGATCCAAAACTTTAGGGGTAACAAGTTTCATAAAAATCTAATATGTATAAAGACATGAACCGTCAGGTCTTTATAGATAAATCGGTATGGTCAAACTGAATAGTCAAAATTAATAGGAACTCGCCGAATTGACACAACGAGTATACTTGGAGAACTCACCGGGTAAGACTGATGAACTTGCCGGGACATGGCGGCGCAAAATGGACGAGGCTTTTCGGGTTTGGGTCGACCCTCGAACTCGTCATCTTCTTCGCCTGTTTTGGGTCTAAACAACCTGAATAACAGCAACATCTGGGCTGCTATGTCCTTGCCATTTCAGGCCAACATTCGGCGGGAAATTGGTCATGAATGGACGGGGACCAAAATCCGACCATTCCCTTCCGGTTACCTCACTGGAATCCAACCAAATCGCTAGAAAATGAGAACCTGAAATTTTGTTTGTTTGTTTGTAATCTTATAGTTTCTCATGCATAGGTTGAGCAACCTTGGCTCTAATACTAATTGATAATATATTACAATTAATATAGATATCAAAAAATACATTAATTGAGAGTCCAAGACACAAAAATATGAACCTATTATATTTATCCTAATTATTATATCAATTACTTTCTATTATATTATTTTTACTTTTTAACATTAACAAAAGGGTTAACCAAATATTAAATTCTCAAATATAAATTAAATTATCATTTAACAATTTATAAGAACATATAATTTATACTCAAAATATATCCAATTTGTTAAATTTTCTAAGACATATATCATATGCAAGTTCATAATTTTTAATTACTAAAAATAATAATTTCATTTTTGAAATTTGAACTTCTATAAATTTTTTGAAACTAAAAATCATTTTTTCATATAAATGTAAATTAGTGGATTTGATAGATTTAATTTACTATTACATTCTTGAATATTTTGTTGTAAATGATAAATATAATGTTATTTAATATAAATTGAAATATGAACTAATAGCTATAAAAATATATAAAATTTGTAAGATATATATCATGCAGAAATTTATAAATTTTAAGTACTAAGATAATTATTCTATTATTAATATTTTATTTATATAAATTATTGGGATTAAAATCATCTTTTGATGTAAATTTGGATTTTATAGATTATTTATTCTATTCATTTATAAAATACTAATTTTAAATATTATTTATTTTAATTTTTAGTTGAAACTGTTAATCATAAATATGTATTGTTTGTTTGGATGAACACAAAAGTTAATAAAAGTTCTTATGCTATCATTAATTGATTTAGGTTCAAATCACGTTTAAGTGTTAGTATATAAAAGAAGCGTTAATTAACTTTTCAAATCAAATGGGACGGATTGGGCTTGGGAAATTGAGAGGGAAAGTTAGATAAGTTTGGGAATGAATAGGGTAATTTGCATGAGTAATCTAATCGTGTCATTACTAGACTTAATTATCTTCTTTTTACGATTAAAATGCTCTTATGAACACTGAGTTTTTAATCCAAATGCTGCATTATTGTATTCTAGTGTTAGAAGGTAATGGATGTTAGCTTAATTCATTGTCTTTTTACAAGTTTTAGTGTTTTACCACTTATTTCTTCTTCGTTATTGATAATCAATGTTTCTGTCCCTTGATTGATTGCTTTGTGTCCTTTTCTTCTTCAAAAGTGTGTTTACAAAGGAAGATGTCATACTCTTATTTTGCAATTCAGAGAACAAATCACTTTCCAGGCAACTTTCACATAATTGTTGTGGTAATGCAGCTTGAATGGTTCAATCAACCAACAGAGTAACCAACAAAGGGCCCTCTGGGACTAGTGGCCATGTGTACAGTTTCTTCTTTTCAGTTCTACAGGTGCTGTGTTTTTCGTTTTATCTTTGGCTTTTCAATGGATCAGACCCTATATACTTTTGTAACACTAAGTACTATATCTATATCTAGTGCCCATTGGGGAGGAGTTTTACGCAGTGGCTTATGGCGTTACATGAGCTGAACAAGCCGAAAAGCCATTAAATTGTGTTTGACAAAAATCCAGAAAGCTGAAAATAGGCTTATATCAATATTAAAATTGACATTTTGGTAAAGCTATCTCGGATGAGGCAGGATCTCTCCTAGCCACGAGAACGTCTGCTCACAACATGCTATCTTGGTGAGGAGTTTACATCTGCACCCCACAAGGGGGGCGCCCTACAATGTCCCACAGCGCATTTCCGCCGTGTATTGGGAATATCTCCCGATGATAATACCAGACCCGGTGGTATCATCATCGGGAGATGTTCCCAATACAAGGCGAAGATGCGCTGTGGGACATTGTGGGGTGCAGATCTGATTTTCTTGGTGAGGACTCCGGATCTCCTATTCACACAAACTCTGCCCATTTATAACACATTATTGTCATGAATTGGGAACATCTCCTCCTATACTGTATAAGGGATGAGATATTCTTCATATATGACTGCGATATTATGTAAATAAACATGGACAGAATATCATCTCGGATAACTTTTTTTATCAATGTAGCTCAATCAACGCAGAAGCCCTACTAAATATGTTCCTAAAAATCGGGTGTGACTTAACAAGATCCGATCATTACTGATATTAGTCTGAGAACTTGACAATTCCCTTCCTCTCTCTTCTCAAAATATTTTGTATGTCCCCTTTAAAATAATACTTTCAGATTTCTTATACGAAATTAGACCAAGAGAAAATGTATGTTGGGGATTTACATTTTACATGATTGGTTCGGGTATTAATCGGGTTCCAACCAGCTAGGTCTGCTGCCACATTGATCCACACCATTAACGGTCTAATTTTGTTTTTGGGTGCAAGTCAGGTGGCGCCCTGGGCCGGGTTTAAGTCAAACCAAAGCCAACCATAAGATTTGGGTCTAACTTCAAGGCTGGACCGAGTTCAAGGTTAAGTTCAATCTTTTCAATCCAAGTCCAGCCCGTGTTATAATTTGATGGATTTGGATTGGGTTTGGGTTGATCAATAAATCTATTCTAAAAGTATACATGTATTATATATTTATGCAAATATGTATGTATATATGTAAATACATATATCTATGTTAGGGGTGCTAATGGGGCTTTTTTTTAACCAAACCGGTACTATCGGTTTTTAGAAAACCGGTAACTGAAATCGAAGTTAACCATCAGTTCAGTTTGTCAGTTTTTTAATTTTTACAATACATATTATAAAAATATATGTAAATATAATAGAAAATTATAAATATATATAAAATATTATGTTTTAAATAATAAATATATATATATATATATATTTATATATAATGCATATTTATTAATTTATAATATATAAAATATATAGAAATGTATGTATACCGGTTGGTTCGGTTAAGTGCCGGTTTTCTATATTGCTTAACCGAAGCCAAACCAATACCTTCGGTTTTTTAAAAACACTGAATTGACCAGTTCAATTAACTGATTTTTTGGTTCGGTTTTTCAATTTTTTCTCACCCCTAAATTCTATATATGCATGTATGAATATGTAGCCAGGTTGGGCTCGGGTTACCTAACGACTAAACTCAAGTCCAACCCTAAAATTAAAACAGCCCAAATTTTTGGGTTCAAGCTAAACCCGAAGGCAAAAAATCCAAGCCTAATCATGTAAAATTTTGAACTCAGTCAATTTGGGCTTAGATTGGGCCCACCCAGGTTGTTGAATAATCTTTTTTTTTTTTTTTTTGAGCTTTGGGTTGTACAAAACAAAATTGAGCCAAGAAGTGATTTTAGTGTTTGGTAAGAACCATTTTTTAAAGCTATAATTTAAGGTCAAAGCACTTGTAATCCCCAGAGCACAAAACCCAGAATTGGGCCTTTATACGCTTTAAAAGCACAAAATCCTGAAGATAATCCAAACGCAACCATATCCGATATTCTTGGATCTTTGGTTTCTAATGAAATAGAGATATTGTTATGAGTTATGAGCCACCACCTGGAGCTGGAGGGCAATGAGGTTAATACATGAAAGGAAGAATTTAGTCCGGATCTTTTGCTTTCTCATGAAGATCACTCAACTTCTGGGGTTTTGGGCGCAAAGAAAGGAGTCTGGTGCAAGTTTTCTAGTTTCAACTCAAAACCAACCAAACATAATGAAGCCTGTAAATGCGTGATTTAATCAAATAAGTCAT